GTGACATCACCCTGGGGCTCTGACACATTCGCACCCAGACGTGCACCCTCCAGGCTTTGGGCAGCAGAGGTGGAGGGTGGTGGGCCCCATTGCCCAGAAGCCTCAGCAAGTCTGAGTCAGTCCCTTCACAACAGCAATTCCCCAGCCCAGTATCATGACCCTTGAAGAGTGGGGTCACGAGCCCCATAAGAAAGAAATCACAGTGGTCAGGCTCAGACCCTAAATGGGGTCACAAGGTGCTGGGAAGTGAGGCTGCCATGGAAAAGACTAGGAAGTACTGCCTGTAGAAGGACCCTGTCAAAGACGAACCCTTCTCACAGGCCATCCCACCCCGACACATGATGCAAGCCACACGGATTAACCCAAGAGGTCTCTTTCATTAACTTGCAAACCACCTCTGCCATAGTTTGAGCCTCTGTGCAGCACCCCCAGGACCACGGAGATGACACAGTCCACCCCCACACACTCCCACGGGGGCACCCACACGGTGCTGAGCCTTCATTAGGCAATAACCACATGCCACCTGTCACCCAGGTGGACTGAGACCACCAGGCCATGTGTGCTAGCATCAGCTGTAGCAATCCCAGCACTGGGCTGCTTCCCATTATCACTCTGCTGGACTTTATAATGATTCTTCCATGCTTCGCCTGCTACAAGACATCCATGGTGCTGAAAAGGGCAGTCCTCACACCCCCACCACATACAGCAAGCCTTCTCTCTTGCTACCCTGCTGGGCCAGAAGCTGGATTATAACTCACCTAGCAGCTGTCTCAAGAGCTATCAGACCAGATAGCTGTTCTGCATTCACATCCCCAAAGCAATTCCTTCTAAGTGCCTGTGGGCACCACTGCTTGGGCACTATAACATAACCTAAAGCCTAGTGGTAAGCTACAGCCTTCTAGCACTTGTCAACACCTAGGCTACCCTGTCTTTGAGGACACGTTACTTGCTTGCATCTAATAGCTCATTTGTAGCCGTAGTCCCTACAGCTCAGAAAGTGATGAAGAGACCGTGGTGATGGGAACTGGAATCGCCAATAAACAAGTACATGTCTGTAAAACCCTAGGTACATGCCACAGCAAAGGAGAGCATAAACCAAGCACCCACCTAATTAATGTGACAGACATGACTCTGAAGGGCATGGTTCCCCAGCTGCCAAAGACAGATTCACAGAAGTTTAGGGATGGAAGGGACTTCGCAAGATCATCAGGTCCAGCCCCCCCTGCTCTGGGCACGGAAGACAGCTGGGGTCAAATAACCCCAGCAAGGTGCGTGTCCAGTCTCCTTTTGAAGATCTCCAGGGTAGGTGCCTGCACCACCCCCACAGGGAGTCTATTCCAGAGTCTGCTCACATGAACTGTGAAGTTTTTCCTTATATCCAGTCTGAAAAGACAACAAGGTCTCAGTTTTAACAGCAAAACAGCTGGAGACAGCATTGCCCAGCAAACAGCCACCTGTACTGGGAGCCACAATGCTATTCCCAGTCTGCTTCTGACTAGCTGTTTGACCTCGGTCACATCATTTTCCCTCCCTGTGCCTCGGTTTCACAGTCAGTGAAATGGGAGGCTGCCACAGCACTTCACAGATGAAGGTGAGCAAGAGCTAAGGATGGCGAGCAGGAAGTGATCAGCATACTTCACAGATCTGTTGAGGTCCCTTCCGACCCTAGCATCTATGAATCTATAAATCCATGAAGTATGCTGAAGAGTTTGCACCTGTCCTGCTCTCCCACCTGACGGGTGGAAGCTGTGGAGGATGAACAATGTTAGGTTTTTTTAAATGCAGTTTTACAACTACTCCAACAACAAAATAGAGTTTGAAGTCAACCCCCAGTTACTTCGGCTCTCAGCCACCATGATGAACTAAATGCTCAGAGGTGTCCGTACATCTAGCTTCAGCAGAACACGGGGTGATGCTAAGTGAACCTGACACAGCCTGATAAAAGCAGGTCTCTGCCACCACTTATCCCCCAAGGCTTACAAAAAAGAAGACAGCAGCTGGGCAGAGCTCTCAAGGCCAGTTTGTGAAAACACGCCACAGTGCCAGCAGACTACAGCGTGCCTGACTTCTCCAAGACCCACTGTATTGGGAGAAGTGGTGCATTTATATAAACAGGGCCCATGGGGATGGCCATTCTTGGTCTGAGAGATCTTTGGTCACACGACCTTTACAACTGGCTTCAGTTACAGGATCCGTTTAGGCAAGGCCACACCCAGGAGAAGTGCCCGGCCCATGAGCTCAGGATCACAAGGGCCAATTTCAACTTTTAGCTCAAAGCTGAGCTGGGCCCAGACTCTAAACAACGAGACCCAAAGCTCCTTAACCAGAGAAATCTGCATCGGGGGACAGGGGGACACACTCCACTGCAGAGATGCTAACCAGGCATCGTATCAAAGACATGCAAAGTCCAGAAGAGTCAACGTGGGGGTAGGGTGAAGCCCCACAGCTGTAATCAGAGCTTGGCAGAAAGCACTGGGGTGGCCTGATTTCAGATCCAAAAGTGGACACAGGTGGTCAGAGCCTGAGCCAAGAGTCACTGTATGTTTGACTATTTCTCTGGGTAACAAAGACAGGTGAGTGTCACTGGGCTGAAAGGCTGGCAGGGCACCAAGCTGGCACCAAAGCCAAGGCCTGGATTAGGTTCCCCAGACTCTTCTGCAATGGCAGGAGGGCAAAGAGGTGCCAGTCACCACACAGTCTGCCAGGGGCATGTCCAGATCTAAACTCCTGTCCACCCGAGGATGCCAGCTGCATCACTCGTTCACAGGCTCATTCCATTTTCATCCTCAGCTGCCCTGGCCCTGGCACACTGACCCTGTGGGCATTAACTCCCTGTGCATCAGACTGCCGGTTTTAAACTCTGCCCCAAACTGAAGTCTTGCTGTGGTTTCAGTGCAAAGATGTGAAGCCGCATGTGGGCCGTGGTTCATGCTCCTCTCTGTTTCCAAACAATCCCCACTTTGCCTGTTTCCCAGGGCTTCTCCAAAAGGTTAAGCTTTCTGACTCATGCTCCACATCAAAGCCTTTCAGCCTGCAGCAGAAACTTCCCACGATTCTGCTCAAAGGCAGGGGTCTCTCCCTGCAGAGGCTCCTCATTGAAGTATGGTCCAAAACCCACGATTGCTTGCCTCAGATTTCTGTAGGAGGAGCATGCTGAACATGGAAACCTGCCTCTCCCAGGGACACCAACAGCTCCCAGGGAGGCTGGTGGCAGTGAGAAGTCACCCCGAGGGGGTCAAAGTGTGGAACTACAAATCTACTAAATCACATCATGGGGAGCAAGCATCGCGTGTAGTCTCTGCAGAATTAATTCTGAATATGGTGGGGATGAAAGTGGAGACAGAATACAACACTGACTTGAGCCAGGTTGATCACAACTTTCACAGAAGTTTAGGGCTGGAAGGGACCTTGTGCTATCACTGGTTCCAGCCCCCCTGCTCTGGGCAGGAAAGCCTGCTGGGGTCAAATAACCTCAGCAAGGTGTGTGTCCAGTCACCTTTTGCAGAGCTATTAAATCTTTTTAGCAGCATTTTTTGCTTTTTCTCATTGTTTTGGCAAATTAGCTTTCAGGAAGTTCCAGCTCTTCCTTCTGGAACTGTTGTTTTTCTCAGCAACAAAAGGCCCTGGGGATATCTCTATCAGCCAGTTCCACTCTTGGAGATGCCTACAGCCAAGCTGCCCAGTTCACAGAGTGAAAGATTTGGACTAGGTAAAAAACCCAATTCAATTTGCTTGCCTTTAAGCAATTTGCAACTCTTGAGCCTAGAGCACCAGAAATGGGCAGCATCTGTGCCTAAACATTTAACTCCAGGCACCTGGGGGAGAGGTCAAACACACGCATGCTACTGCAAGCTTAATCTGCACCTTGTATTTGTAGGTAAAAATGATTAAGCTGCTCTCTGGGCTTGCAAAACATCACCAGTGGGTAATACTCCTTTTGATCACCTGTTTTGACCAGAGCTGAGCTGATACTGGGCACTGTTCTCTGGGATTTCCCCTGGCACTCCTACTGAAACACTGCCTCAATACTTTCCATTACGGTGACTGGGAGCTGTACGCAGCAGCCTGGGTGCTGAAGGCAGAGGAGATCCCAGCACAAGCTAACTGGTTGTAAGGAACAAAAGCAGCTGATGCCCAAATTGCTGGCCACCTCTAATGCATTAGAAATTCTACTGCTAATCGAAAGAGATTCTGACAAACGAAACCTGGATAGAGCAGCCCATTACGGACCCACTGCTGCAAGCCTGACTCCTGGGAGAAGTTTCTTGCTGGGACAAGCAACTTGATTAGAACTGCTCAAGCACGCAAGGGAGCCAGGTTGAGCCTGAAGCCAGGGGAATGCAGAGAGCTGTTTTGAAACAAAACACGCCAGGTTATCCTGCGCTCGATTTTTCCTTCTGCCTCGGCTTGTGGGATGCTCTGCTCTGTCACAGGTTGGACAAAGAGACTGGAGCCCCTGGGGTCCACCTGGAGTCAGCAGGGTTATCGCATGCTTCAAGCTAAGCACATGTGATAGTACTTTGCTGGATCAGGGCAGCACCAAGCTCTCAGTACATGGCTTTGGATTGTACCCTTTTAGCAACAAGGCTGAAACTCCACAATAGCTACGTAACAAGCAAGAACAGATCACCTGGGGGAACCTGCGATGTGGCAGGCAGCTGGCAAGTCCAGCCACAGCACACAGGAGAGATCATCTCCACTTGTTTTGCTCAGCTACAAACTCTTATGCTCACATGGGAGGCACTGCCGAGGGATTAAAATCCACCAGGAAATACGGTTACTTGAGAGCACTCGCATGCCAGCTTCAGTAGGGGCTGGAAGGCGTCCTGAGCTGGGTGAAAGTGCCCAGTGTCACACTCCCCCTCGGACACCCCGACTTGTATCAGGGGCCAGCAGCAAACTTCCCACAGGGGAAACCAGTTGAGGAGCGAAGGGGACAACTTGGATTTCTAACTGAGGAAGGAAGAGTCAAATCAGAGAAGAAGCGCAGTCAGACTCACCACCTCCACCTGGATGATCACACCGTGCCTTAGCAGTCCACTTCCACATGCAGGGCCCACGGCCTCAACACTCAGGCGAGCAGCTTTTGTGTAGTCCTGGGCAACATGAGGTGCACTCTAGACAACTTGCATTACTCAGCCCTTAAATAAATATGTGGCAGCAATCAGTGAACTGTGCAGCGGGAGCCAAACAAAGGCCTGGATTCTCAGTCGGTGGAACTGGACTGTGGCTGTGGATCAGGACACACTGAGGTCTTGTCTGCATGCAAGGCCTCTACCCCTCGAACTGTGGCAGTAGAGTTAAAAGCAGTATAACCCTCACCCTCCACAGCAGGGACAGGTAGACCCATACAAAAGCACTAGTGTCTGCATTCTCATAAATCAAAAGGAAAAGCTTTACTGGTATCAGGCACCAGCATAGCCCGAGCGTGAATTCAGATAATGCCAGTGTAACTAGACTGGTAAAATAAAAGGCATAAGGACTAACAATCCTCAACCACATAGATACCTAACCTGGTCCCAAAAAACTGTGCACAGACCAGGCCTGCAAGAACAGAGGGGTGTTTCTGTTTGCTGTCAACCAGAGGGAAGAGGCCTGCCTTGCAGTTCCTGCTCAGCTGGGACCCATGTCTTGGGTAATGACAGACTACTGATCTGACCCAAGTTACTCCCCCCATGCTAGGACCTGACAGCTCACCATAGCCAGCATCAACTGACTGACAGACTAGCAGGTCCCGCTGCCTGCTGTTCCCCTCTCTGGTTTGCCCATCACACACTGTCAGCGCAAACATCCAGCGCTCTTCATTTCCAGCATTTTTCATATTTGACACTCAATCCCTGAGTGACTGCGAAGTGGCTTCCAGTGCAGACAGAGCTGCGACAGAAAAGATACCAGTCCAGTGCTCTTGCTGACAGGAGACAAGGGGACAACACCGGGGGTTCAATGGCTTCAGGCACCAACTTGCTGCCAGCCTCCCAAAATTGGTCTCGGCTGCTCAGAGTGGAGTCATTATTGCCTGATCCAGCACCTAATCTGCCCGAGGGATTCTGATAGCAAGATTGGGACCTAACCGGCTGCAAACTATAACTGCCCTTTAGACCTTGAGCCACAGCCTGTCTTGGTCCTTGCACCTGGGCAAAGGCACAGGGTGCATCTCTCATCTTGTAAAGGGCATCATACCGGAGATCATGACTAGCCATGCAGTATAGAGCTCTGCACCGGGAGGCCACGTGCCCTCTACAGCTTGGTCTCCACTGGAAAACTACAGGCACAATTCCTGACAGTCCTGCAGTTGAATTTCCAGAGATCAAGGTATATCCCAGCTGATGTGTGTATGAAGCCACCCCCAGAACCTGCTGATGCCTCAACACAAAAACTACATGCAGTTGGCCTGTGCTTAGTCAGAGGCACTGGGATTTTCCTCTCTCATTAGCAGAGCATTGCTGTGCCACTGATACCCGGCTTTCATGCTCCACCCCAGAGGGGCTGCCCTTGGTGGATGAAAGATCCCTCCTGCAGCTGCGGTTACATTTGGACAAGGCCTCTGGATCCTAGGTAGGAAAGGCCCTACCAGACATCAGAGTATCCCATCAGATAGAATATGGATCACATTTGGACCTGCAGGAGGTCTTGGGAGGGAGCACGTGTTAACCCCATCTCACCAGACCTCACCCTCCACCCTTATAAGCCAGACTTGGTATCAGCGTCAGAGGGGAGGATGTTCATTGGACACCTTTTCAGTGTGTACTGACCTGGCAGCTCTTTCTTGCCGCTTCTTGAGATGAGCATTACTCAAAAGAAAGCAGCTGGGACACAGCATAGGCTCCATTTTATCCCCTGCTCAACAGCTCTGCTGACATGGGCTTTATCGCCTGGTGCAGCTGCTGGTGGAGAAGCACAGAGCCTGTCTGTAAGCTACTCTGAACCAGGAATGCACTAACCGTATGCAAGGAGCAGCCAGGACGGCACAGGATGAGATGTCTCCAGGAACAGGCTCCTGTGTCAGAAGAGCTTCAGCTCCACCTTCACAAACAAACCACCTGCACAGAAACTAATATAACCAAGATATGAGCTGTACAGCTGTAGTGAGAGGTGAGGACAGGGGGTAGCAGGGGAAAGATGATAGGGGATGTATTCCAGATCTAGCAGCCACTCAGGGCAAGAACCAAGAAGACAGGACTCCTCCATTGGGTGGGGAGGGCAGAGGTTGATTTTAAAAGTGAAGAGATGATGGATCTGGCCACCACTGTGTGCGTGACTGCACAGATCGTTTCATACCTCTCTAAAACAGCCACTGGGAGGTGGCAAGAACTGAATAAGGCTCCTGAAGCGTTTGGAGATGTCTGAATAACCACAGAGGTATTGTTTCAATCAGCAAAATATCCAGTGAACAACAGAGGGCCCTGTACTCAAAAAAATCATCGCAGGAAGTTTGATTTTTCACGGGCCAGTTGAAAGGACCAGGAAAATTTGCTTCTAACCCTGAATTGTGGGCAGCAGCACGCAGCTTTGTTTTAGGAAAAACAGATATTTCCCTCTAGCAGAGGCTGTAAAAGGCCTGGCTGTCAGAGACCTTCCACAGCGGTAAGGGTTCTTGTACATGTGATGCCATTACCATGTACACATGATAAAAATGTCACTTTGAGTGGCATAATGGTGTCACACTGTACATGTGCAAGAGTTTTGGGGGTTTTAAATGATTTTGCATCTGTGTAAACTAAAGTACATCCCAATGTAGTTTAGTTTGCAATGAAGCGTTGCAGCTACCAGTCAGCTCGCTCCCCGCAGCTTCGGGAGAGGTGGGCAGGCTCCTCAGAAAAAAAAGGATCAGGCCCCTCGCCAAAAAAAAAAAGGGATCACCCCTTGCCATAACAGAGGCAGGAAAATAAAACCCCACTGCCTACATTAAAAACCTCTGAGCTCTGTCTGTGAAAACAATTGCAAAGCAAATAGAAGTCATACCCAAACCGCAGGCCAAGATAAGCTCAGGTAGTCCACTTTACACCTTGATATCAAGTCCAAAGACTCTAGTTCGATTAGAGCATTTCAGTCCTTGAAGGAGTGAAGAGGGCTGTGGGCAGGAGAGACCCAGGTGTCACCACTGCAGCAACTGATGACATGCCCTGTACTGCAGAATAATGTGAAAAATTGGGAAGACGTCTGCCGATCTGGTCTCGAACCTGGCGCTCAGCATGCCCTGCAGTACAGGAGTACGGCACGGCAGCCAGGCACCTGAGCGTTCTCCGCCCCCGCTCAGAGACTACAACCCCTCTCCCCTGCACACAGGCCAAAGAGTCTCCCCCAGAAGCTGGATGCAAGCAAAGATAACCAGGCTCACTGCAAAGACTCCATGAGGTGGCAAGACTGCCATTTCTCCTGGCAAGTCACTCCAGTATTTGGGTTGACAGTTAAGAAATCACATCCAATTTCAAGGCTCAGTTTGTCTAACTTTGCCAGCTCAGCAACCTGTCATGCCCTTTCTGCCAATTCAGTAAGTTCTAGTGAGAAAGGCTGAAAGCTTCCCCCCACCACTCAAACACGTTCTCCGTACATAAGCCAATGATCAAGTCGCCTCTTAAATTTCTCTTCCATAAATTGAGTAAATAAAATAAATCAAGACTTTCCAGCCCTCTGCCCCATTCTATTTTACTCTATTTTACTGTGTCAGCTCAGTTTGCAAGGGCCTTAGGTAATGAAACTGCATATTCCTCAATGGTTATACTCATCTAACCATGGAGTGCGTAGGTTATAATGGCTCAAAATGATATCTTTACATGGTACATTATTACATCTATAGTAATACTTTGTAGCGACACGACACACTGCACACATCCATTACTGGTGCCTTCAGGAGGAGGTATTATTATCCCCATTTTAGAAGGATGGTGCCTGATGCACACAGAAAAAAGTAATTTCTCCAAGTCTGCAAAAGAAGTCTGTGGCAACAGATTTCTCTGTGCTGACACCCGTGAGTTTGAGAACAGGTGGAATTTTTTTCCCACAGCCCACAGACAAAAAAAAAAAACAAAAATCACTTTAGGCTCAAACTTAAAATCTTCATTTCAGTCAGGACTATGTTTGCCTGGCTTTATTTAATGAAAATGATAAACAGAGAAGAAAAGTGTTTTCTGTAAAAATTGCTGGTTTTCAACACAACAAAGTTTGTTTGGTGTTGGGTTGTTTTTTTTTTTAACCCAAGACAATTTAGAAATCCCAAATATTTTCAGCTTTGGGCTTTTATCTCCTGTTGTTACCCAAACATTTCTGCAGGAAATTTGGGGATGGAGCAGAGGTGCCCCTCACACTCCTGCACGTGTGCACACCAACATTTCTCACAGCATAATCATTGACATTTTTCTAACCAAGGTCTAGTTTCTATACCGAATACAAGGGTGAAATTCCTGTAAAAGATTCTATATATGATTGTGCATACACCACCTTTTTTCCCTTTTCCCTTGCAAACATTCATCTGCAACATGACAAAGCGAAAAGCAAAGGACTGCTCTAGCCTGGGAAGTGGAAAATGCAAAAGTAATGATAAATAAGAAGGAAAGTCATGAGTCTCTTTTTACTGTTGAATTTGAAAGAAATGCTGCAGCAAACAGCATCTCTGGTGCTGGGCATCACGGCTAAGCTTAGCAAGGGGCCCAGATCTCAGTGGTGGGCTCCGCTAGTAAAGATCTCAGAGGAACTTGCACACTCAAAGGAGTCTAAAAGCGGGGCTTTGCTAGATAGGAGTCACATACATTAAAAATGACATTAAATTAAAAATTTTAAAAGGCTAAATATTTGTTTTAACTTGATAGTATGAAGTCTATTTTTCATAGGCTTGTGTCTCAAAAAAACCCCAACCAACAGACACTTCCAGTTCTGGCCAGACAATAAACTCTTCAAATGTCCTTTTTAGCAAGTAAAGGGTACCACTGAATTATTCACCAGATTGCAGCTGCCAGTGACTTAACTGTACAAATGACAAGATCTGCCGCAGATAGGCCTGTATGAGAAGCTTGTGATATGGGATGCTGTCAGCTACCCTGTACACAACCCTGTGTCATATAGAGACGTATAGATGCTCAGGACCAGCTTGACAACATAGTGAAACAGGTCTGTATCAACCAAGGTAGAGGAAAGAGGTGACAGATCAGTCAGAATTGCGATTATT